CGCACTTACCCTTGGCTGTAGAAAGAACTGATGAAATACATGACAGCCACCTCTGCTCGGGGGGCAGCAAATCAGAGAAAAACGGTGACCGCATTGGTAGCGTGGCTCAGTCACTCAAGCAGAGGCTCTGAAAAGACTCTTAACGTCGCTGCTTGTGGAATGGCCCGTCGAAGCCAGGTCCCACGTGAGGGCCACCTCCAGGATGGCATTCTGTCAACCGTAAAACGTGAAAAAGCCCAGCCTTTGTTTAGCAAGCAATTGATGCCGGTGTTCTTGCCAGACATCCCCTTTTCACGGTCTCCTCAGCAAGTGGTTGCAAGTCGACGCCTGCCGCGGTTGTTTTCTACCAGTGTTATAGACACCTTCTAGTCATGCTTCGGACGTAGCTAAGGCGTGGCAGCGGCTTTGATAATCAGCTTATTGCCACGGACAGAGCTGAAACTTCAGTGCAAATGTGGCTTGATCTAACAACAGTTTCTACCATCCGTCATCAAGAGATGCTTTTTACTCACTTATGGGACAGCTGCTCCTCTTCCCCATGTGTCCTTACCGTAAGAGCGCTACAGGACGCCATCCTCTCTTATTCAACATCAGAACAAGATCTCTGTTGAGAGTGAGATATCTGCATGCTGATGGTGCAGATCTTTCATGTGCATCTTCCCTCTTCGAACACAGCATCAGCTCCACTTCGGTGCTTGGAAATTGGTACGTGCATGAAAAGCAAGCAGCTTGAGTGTGGGCACTTCTGCTGATAGTGGGAGGAGGAAAGCATTGTATTTCAAGCTGTCTGCTCTCGCAGGGTGAAGTCCACGGACTAAGGAAATACATCACTGCTCATGGGTATCCAAGGCACAACAGTGGCCAGGAAAGCTGCTTTTAAACTTTACGTAGTTAAGAGATTTGATTCTGTTCTCTCTGATGTGGCCTAGCCATGGAGATGAATGTTTTTGTCATCTGCAGACTCTATCTGAGTTGACTGCAAAGAGCATGCAGAAACGGAAGCCTCTCTCCTCCACGGACCTCACCAGAAAGCCCATCTCCCCAGTGCGCCATTCCTACGCTGGCTCCAATTGACACTCCGGATCTGTTTCATGCTGCTAGTCCTGACCTTCACAGATCGTAATGTGCTCAGTCCTGTCTCTCTCCCCCGCTGCCCCATTGCCGTGGCTGTTATCTGAAATAGTGTGGTTCACAATCCCGAAGGTGAAACTCTTTGGACAGCATATTTTAAGTGGAAGACATTTTGGCTGTGGAATTGCCTGCCATCTGATTGGTATAAACGCCAGACTCTGTCCACACTTAGAGCACAGTGCAAGATCCATCTCTTTGTGCATACCTCCCATAGTCTGGTGCAATAGTGCTTTCCTGGCAGGCAGCCACCAGAGAGGACACTGACAGGGATAGAAGAAGTGGTGGGAAGCTTCGGACCCTTGCTCATGCAGAAATGAAGTCTGATGTATGTGGTATCTAGACAGTTTGGTGATTGGCCCGTTGGAAATGAAAATAGATACCATTTTTTAAAGCTTAATGTTTATGGCCTTTCTGTCTCTTAGTCTGGTTCTGAAATATCTTCTGTATGTTTTCAAGACGCAACAGATTTTTGGGCAAGTGGGATGGAAAAGTGAATATACACAGAATAAGCAAACCAATTGAAAAACGGAGACGAATTCTCTGGAGGAACTATTTTTAAGCTGTTTCAATTTCAGGTATTTAAAACGGCTCAGATGCTTAGGGAATTGTAGTGCTATAGTTTTGTTTTTATCAAAATTACACCTGCTGTGGGTGGGGATAGGGTTAATCACGTACAGTCTTTGCGTTCATATTAATTACTCGGAGGCTTCCCTGCAGAAAGGTGGCGTTGCTTATAAGTTACGTTAAACATGTGTAACAGCTGATAATTAGGTTTTATGTAAATCCAGTGAGATAATGCAATATAATTACATTTTGACGGTCTAATGCATGGTTCATACCATTATCAGCTCTGAGTGGAGAATGCTGTAAAACGTGATAATTATATAAACTTACCGTGGTCCCTCGGCCAGTGCTTAAAATAGCATTAACAAATTTGGAGCTAGAGTGGTTTAGAAAACGTGGCGCAGAGAGCTCAGAAACGATATTGGGAGGGGGGCTGAATCCTGGGGAGGCTGGGCCATGCTTATGGGTGGTCCTTGTGGACTCATAGGGAGACGTATACTGTGCTGTAGGCCCCTGTCTGATTACAGCCTCAGGGCACACTTGTATTGCCTGTCCGCTTCCTGCTTGGAACGTTGCATTTGGCCGCTACCTCCTGGCTTTCCAGCCCTTGTCAGTAGGGGAGGAGAAGGGGGTCACTAAAAGTGCTATTCAGTATCTCAGCTTTCCAACCCAGATCCAATGCATGTTTAAGATATACAGTCCTAGATATGTATGTTATTGAATAGTACAGGGTAAGGACAAAATGTCTGCTCTGAGTTTTAGCCATAACTTCACAATTTCTGGCTTTTATGGTTGTAACTTATTCCCTCAATGTTATTCCAACACTTATGGTTTGGTTTAGGGTAGTGTAAGCTTCTACTTAGTGATGCTTAATCTAAGTTGATCTTCGTGAACTCAGTGACTCATTTTGCCAAAAAACGATTAAGTTGTCTGGGTGAGTTGAACATCTGGTCACAGTATATCCTCGTGTGGATTTAGCTGGGTGACTAGGTTCTGATGTCATTTGCTTCTGATCCTTATTGATAACACACAAGTGGTCTGAGCCCCTTCTTGCCGGTCCGTGAGAGACACTGTCATCAAGATTCCCAACACAAACCTCATGGATCTAAGGAACCTGTTTTTT